TGGTGGCTGCTGCGACGGCGACGACGACGACGACGGTGACGACGACGGAGACGACGACGGCGACGGCGACGGCGACGACGGCGACGGCGACGTCGACGGCGCGGCGACGGCGGCGGGGGCGGCGAAAACGACGACGACGACGGCGACGGCGTTGGCGGCGACGACGAAAAAGACGATGACGACGACGACGGCGACTACGACGACATCGGCGGCGACGGCGACGGCGACGACAACGCCGGCGGTGGCGGCGGCGACAGCGACAGCGACGGTTACAACGACGACGACAATGACGACGACGATGGCTGCGGCGGCGGCGACTGCGACGGCGGCGACGGCGACGACGACGACGACGACAGAGACGGCGACGGCGACGGCGACGGCGACGGCGACGGCGGCGGCGGCGGCGGCGGCAGCGCTTGCGACGACGAAGGCGGCGGCAACGACGACGGCGACGGCGACGATGACTACTGCGACGACGACGGCGGCGGCGGCGACGGCGACGGCGACGGCGACGTCGAAGGCGACGGCGACTGCGACGACGACGACGACGAAGGCGGCGGCGACGGCGACGACGACGACGACGGCGACGGCGACGGCGACGGCGACAGCGACGGCGGCGGCGACTGCGACGGCGACGGCGGCGAAAACGACGACGACTGCGACGACGACGGCGGCGGCGGCGGTGACTGCGACGACGGTGACGGCGACGACGACGACGGCGGCGGCCACGGCGACGACGACGACGGCGACGGCGGCGACGGCAGCGACTGCGTTGAGGAAGGCGGTGGCGTTGACGACGACGACGGCGACGACGACGACGTCGAAGACGACGACGACGACGACGACGACGGCGGCGACGGCGGCGGCGACTGCGACGGCGGCCGCGGCGGCGACTGCGACCACGACGACGAAAACGACGAAAACGACGACGACGGCGACGGCGGCGGCGACGGCGACGGCGACGGCGGCGGCGGCGGCGGGGCGGCGCCGACGGCGACAATGACGGCGACGTCGACGTCGGGGACGACGACGGCGACGGCGGCGATTGCGACGGCGGCGGCGGCGACGACGACGAGAAAGACGACGGCGACGACGACGACGACGGCGGCGACGGCGGCGGCTGCGGCGACTGCGACAGCGGCGGCGGCGGCAACTGCGACGACGACGACGACGGCGGCGGCGACGACGCGACGGCGGCGACGACGTCAGCGGCGACGGCGGGGAATGCGACGGCGACGGCGGCGACGACGACGACGACGACAACGACGACGACGACGATTACGGCGACGACAATGGCGGCGGCGGCGGCAGCGGCGGCGGTGGCTGCGGCGACGGCGACGGCGACGGTGACGGCGACGCAACGACGACGACGACGGTGGGGACAACGACGCCGACAGCGACAGCGACGGCGGCGGCGCCGATGGCGACGACGACGGCGACGACGACGACGGCGACGACGACCGCGACGGCGGCGGCGGCTGCTGCGTTTGCGACGGCGACGGCGACAGCTACTGCGACGGTGACGGCGACGATGACGGCGACGACGGCGACGACGGTGGCGGCGGTTGCGGGGGTGGCGGCGGCGGCGGCGTCGGCTGCGGCGGCGGCGGCAACGATCATAACGACGACGTCCACCACGACGACGGCGACGACGACGACGACGACGACGACGACGGTGACCGAGGGGCGACAACCATTGCGGAACGACGGCGACGACGACGGGGGCGGCGGCGGCGGCGGCGACGACGACGACGGTTGCGAACGCAACGGCGGCGGAGGCGGCTGCGGCGCCGGCGGCCGCGACGGCGGCGGCGACGGCGACGGCGACGACGACGGCGACGACGACGACGGCGACGGCGGCGGCGTCAGCGACAGCGACGATTACAACGACGACGGCAACGGCGACGGCGGTGACGACGACGACGGCGGTGGTGGCGACGACGACGACGACGCCGACGGCGACGACGACTACGACGACGGCGGCTGTGGCGACGGCTGTGGCGACGGCTGTGGCCGCGGCGACCGCGGCAACGGCGACGGCGACGACGGCAGCTGCGGCGGCGACTGCGACGTCGAAGGTGACGGCGGCGGCGGCGGTGGCGACGGTGACGGCGACGACGGCGACGGTGGCGGCGACGACGACGACAACGCCGATGACGTCGGCCACGACGACGGCAACGACAACGAGGACGGCGACGACGTTGGCGGCGGCGGCGCCGACGACGACGGCGACGACGACGACGGCGACGACGACGGCGACGGCGGTGGCGACGGCGGCGACGGTGGCGATGGCCGCGGCGGCGACGGCGAATGCGACGACGACGGCGGCGGCGACGGCGACGGCGTCGGTGCCGACGGCGACGGCGACGGCGACGACTGCGACGGCGACGACGACGGCGACAACGACGACGATGACGACGGCGACGACGACGACGACGTCGACGACGACGACGACCACGGCAGCGGCGACAGCGGCGGCGGCGGCGATTGCGATGGCGGCGGCGGGGGCGGCGACTGCGACGACGACGGCGACGACGACGGCGGCGGCGACGGCGGCGGCGGCGACGACGAAGAGGGCGACGACGACGACGGCGACGGCGACGGCGACGGCGACGCTGGCGGCGACTGCAAAGGTGGCGGCGGCGGCGGCGGCGACAGCGACGGCGACGGCGGCTGCGTAGGCGGCGACGGCGACGGCGACGACGGCGACTGGGCCGTCGACGACGACGACAACGACGACGTCGACGACGACGACGGCCACGGCAGCGGCGACAGCGTCGGCGGCGGCGACTGCGATGGCGGCGGCGGGAGCGGCGACTGCGACGACGACGACGACGACGACGACGGCGGCGACGGCGGCGGCGGCGACGACGACGAGGGCGACGACAACGACGGCGACGGCGACGGCGACGCTGACGGCGACTGCAAAGGTGGCGGCGGCGGCGGTTGCGACAGCGACGGCGACGGCGGCGGCAACGGCGGCGACGGCGACGGCGACGACGGCGACCTGGGCCGTCGACAACGACGACGACAACGACGACGGCGACGGCGACGACGACAACGACGCGACGACGACGACGGCGGCGATGGCGGCGTCGGCAATTGCGACGGCGGCGACGGCGACGGCGACGGCGACGACGATGCCGACGACGACAGCGGCGGCGGCGGCGACGGCGACCGCCACGGCGACGGCGACGACGACGACAACGACGACGACGTCGGCGATTGCGACGGCGACGGCGGTGACCACGACGACGGCGACGACGACTGCGGCGACGACGACGGCGTTGACGACGATGGCGGCGACTGCGACGACGACGTCGGCGGCGGCGGGTGTGGCGATGACTGCGACGGCGGCGGTGACAACGACGACGACGACGACGACGACGACGGCGATGGCCACGGCGGCGACCGCGACGGTGACGGCGACGACGACGACAACGACGGCGACGACGACGACGACGGCGACGGCTACGATGACGACAACGACGGTGACGGCGCGGCGGCGGCGGCGGTGGCGTCCACGACGACGACGACGGCGGCGACTGGGACGACGACGCGACGACGGCGACGGCAACGGCGACGACGCGACGGCGGCGGCGGCGACAGCGACAGCGACGGCGACGGCGGCGACGACGGCGACGGCGACGACGTCGACGGCGACGACGGTGACTGGGACGTCGACGGCGACGACGACGACGACGGCGGCGAAGACGACGGTGGCGTCGACGACGACGACGACGGCGATGGCGCCGATGGCGGTGGCGGCGACTGCGACGGCGGCGACGGCGACGGTGACGGCGACGGTGGCGATGGCCGCGGCGGTTGCTGTGGCGACGGCGACGGCGACGGCGGCGATTGCGACGGCGACGGCGACGACGACGACGACCGCGACGACGACGGTGGCGGCGGCGGTGACGGCGGCGGCGGCGGCTGCGACGGCGGCGTCGGCGGCGGCGTCGACTGCGACGGCTCTGACGACGGCGACGACGGCGGCGGCGGCGACGGCAGCGACGATGGTGGCTGCTGCGACGGCGACGGCGACGACGACGACGACGGTGACGACGACGGAGACGACGACGGCGACGGCGACGGCGACGACGGCGACGGCGACGTCGACGGCGCGGCGACGGCGGCGGGGGCGGCGAAAACGACGACGACGACGGCGACGGCGTTGGCGGCGACGACGAAAAAGACGATGACGACGACGACGGCGACTACGACGACAACGGCGGCGACGGCGACGGCGACGACAACGCCGGCGGTGGCGGCGGCGACAGCGACAGCGACGGTTACAACGACGACGACAATGACGACGACGATGGCTGCGGCGGCGGCGACTGCGACGGCGGCGACGGCGACGACGACGACGGCGACGGCGACGACGACGACGACGACGACGACGACGACGACGGCCACGGCGACGGCGACGGCGACGGCGACCGCAACGGCGGCGGCGGCGACGGCGACGGCGACGGCGACGGCAACGGCGACGACGACGACGACGACGACGACGACGTCCACGAATGCGCTAGGCGGCGTCGAGCGGCCAGGCGCCCTCCGCGCAGGGCGGCGGTTGGGAGACCTTCGAGCAGGCATCGGGCGCTGCCCGCGCACAGGCGCGTGCCTGGAACGGCCAGGCCCCGGGCCGCCGCCGCCAGCGCATCCGCTTCTCGGCGCCGTCGTCCTCGCCGCCGCCGTCAGCCGCCGTGGACTCCGTTGATCAGGGGGGGACAGATACCGATACTGCTACCCTCTCGCGTGGCCACGGCTGGATTCGCTTCGAAATCCTGGTCAGAGCGCACACCAGAAGAGGTCCTGGGAGTCGCGGTATCGGTACCTTTTTGCCCCTTCCGCCCCAGTTGACGCCGCCGCCGCCGTTGTCAATCGTTCGCGTCCTCGTCCTCGCTGCCACCGCCGTCGGCGTCGCCGTTGTCAGTCGTGCGCGTCCTCGCTGCCGCTGCCGCCGTCGTAGTTCGCGCGGTCATCTCTGGTGGAAGGGGTGGTGTTGCTGCTGCTGCTGCTGCTGCTGCTGCTGCTCGCCCAGGGCTCCGACGCCGGCGCCACAGCGCAGGGCTGGCCGAACTACCAGGAGGCCGCGGGGAGGCACCAGCCTTCCGGCACAGGCGCAACGGCCAAGAGGCTATTGGAAGATTTGTTGGAGGGCCACCTGCTGGAGCAGCGGCCGAAGGCTAGGCGGGGAGGAAGGGGAGGTGGAGATGGGAGCTTGGTGGAAAGGGAGGATGGCGAATTAGCGAATTGGGGGCTTAGACCAAGGTCTGTCGAACCCATCGAAGCCCGAGAAATTATTCGGGCACGTTGTGCCCAGGCTTTCTTGTTCCCAGGGCTTGGGCTTCACGGCTGCGCTCTGCACGGCAAAACTCAACCACCTCACGGAGGTCAACAAAACCATGCAGCTGGGCCATTCGATGCACATCCAAGGCATCAGAGGTGCCCAACCCGTACACGGAAGAGGGCTCCGCAGGGTCGGGGCTTCGCACTGAGGCTTCTGGAGGGACCAACCTCCCTTCCCACAAAGTTCGGACCTCCGACGACGGCGCACACGTTCCCCCGAAATTCGGAGGACGGGAGGCCAGGAGGAATGAGGATGAGGATGATGAGGATGAGGATGATGCGCGGTGATGAGTGGTGATGAAGGTGATGATGGTGATGATGATGATGATGATGTTAATGATGATAATGATGATGATGATAAAGATGATGATGCTGATGATGATGATGGTGATGATAATGATGATGAGGATGATGATGATGATGCTGACGCTGATGATGCTGATGATAGTAATGCTCGTGAAGATGAGGATGATGAGGATGAGGATGAGGATGAGGATGACGACGATGATCATGCTGATGCTGATGATAGTGATGATGATGATGACGATGATGATGATGATGATGATGATGATGGTGATGAGAATGAGGATGAGGATGGTGATGATGCTGATGATGATGCTGATGAAGATGAGGATGCTGAGGATGAGAAGGATGAAGATGATGATGATCATGCTGATGCTGATGATGGTGATGCTGATGATGATGAGGATGATTATGATGCTGAGAATGAGTATGCTGATGTTGATGAGGATGCTGATACTGATGTTGATGAGGATGATGATGAGGATGATGAGGATGATGATGCTGATGAGGTTGAGCATGATCAGGAAGAGGATGATGATATGGTGATGACGGTACTGCTGATGATGGTGATGCTGATGAGGATGAGGTTGGTGACGATGATGCTGATGATGCTGATGATGATGTGGATGAGGATGATGATGATGAGGGTGACGATGACGACGATGATGATGACGATGATGATGATGCTGATGATGAGGATGATGATGATGATGATGGGGATGATGGTGATGATGCTGATGATGATGATGATGATGATCAGCGAGCGAGCATGCGTAACCGGGTTCGGTCGTAGCGGGAGGTGGCTGCGCGGCGGCTGCGGTGCTTAACAGCTAAGAAGTTTGATTGTCTTGCCCGTCAAGCTCTGTGACGAGATTTGGCGGCAACTCATGGTGCTGAGGATGAGGATGAGGAGGATGATGCTGATGATGATGGTGATGATGGTGATGAGGATGGTGATGTCGATAAGGATGAGGATGATGATGATGACGATAATGAGGATGATGATGATGATGATGAGGATGATGCAGATGATGATGTTACTAATGATAATGAGAATGATGATCATGATGATGAGGATGATACTGGTAATGATGCTAATGAGGATAAGGAGGAGGATAATGATGATGATGATGAGAATGAGGATGATGCTGATGACGATGATGATGATGAGGATGAGGATGAGGATGAGGATGATAATGACGCTGATGATGATGGTATGATGATGCTGATGATGCTGATGCTGGTGATGATGAGGCTGATGTTGGTGATGATGAGGAGGATGAGGATTAAGATGATGCCCATGACATGATGATAAGAATGATGATGAGGATGACGATGAGGATGATGATGCTGATGATGAATATGATGATGATGATGATGAGGATGAGGATGATGAGCGGTGATGATGATGATGATGATGATAATGATGATGATGATGACGACCATGATGCTGCTCATGATGATGAGGATGCTGAGCTGATGATGATGATGATGACGATGAGGGTGAGGATGATGATGCGGATGAAGATGAATATGATGATACTGATGAGGATAAGGATGATGGTGATGCTGCTGCTGATGATGATGCAGATAAGGATGGTGATGATGATGATGAGGAGGAGGAGGAGGAGAAGGAGGAGGAGGAGGATGCTGATTATGCTGATGATAATGATGCTGATGAGGTTGCGTATGATCATTATATGCATGTTGGTGCGTTGTCCCGCTGTTTGTGTCCTCCATAGCCTTTTCGGCAAAAGCTGGTGCGCTCGCGCGCGCCCCCGGAGCGCAAGCAGCCGTACATGCTCCTGGCGGGCCTCGGCGTGGCGTGCGCTGTGTTCTCGCATCTGCTCGGGACCTGGGTCTCGAGCTTCTGGGGGCCAGGCGCTGGCTGCCCAGACTGCGCGCCGGTGGTCGAGTGCTCGACTTGCCCGGCGTGCTCTCCGGCGGTCACCTGCCCGCCGTGCCCTGCGTGCCCAGCGCAGCTTGCAGACTTCCACTGCCGCTGCACTTGCCCGGCCGGGGCGCAGTTGGCAGATCAGACACCACGGCCGGGCCGAGTGGACTGCCGGTGCCCGCCGAGCGGCGGGCTCCCCGCATTCGCCGCGGGCGCGGCCAGCGGGGCCTCGGAGGTGCTGCTGGCTTGGGGCTGGTGCTGCTCGCGGCGCTGGCGGGCTGGGAGCGCGCCCAGGGCCGCGCTTGGGGCACCGTTCGCTGCCCTCGAGCCGCAGGGGCCGAGCCGCCCGGTGCGGCTCTCGGCACCGTCAGGCGAGGCGGGGGGCTCGCTGGCCGCGGAGATCTCCACCGTCGTGACCGAGTGGAGGCCCAGACGGCCGAGGCTCTAAGCCTAGATTAGATGGCGTCGGCGCTGGACATCCCCGAGCTGCAGATCGCGGTGAGGTTTCGGGACGACCCGAACTTCGAGTACCATTGGCGGATGCTGGTGGTCAGGATCGCGGATGCCCGATGGGCTGGAGCCACTCCCGACCTGCACACACAGATCGTCGACCTGTCGGAGCTCCACGTGATCCCACTGACGCGTGGGCAGCCTGTGCCAGCGCGAGTGAGGGCGAGCTACTACGGCCCCGACGCACTCACGGACCAGCAGGTGGCGGAGATCAGACGGGAGTGTGGGGCGCTGGCACTGATTCATGGGGCAGCCGTCGCGGCCCCAGCCGCCGCGGCCTCGGCCGCCGAGTGGAGGTTCGCCGACACAGCGTTTGCGAAGTTCGGGGAGGTCGTCGACCCAGGAGTGATTGCCAACCCGAACACCTTCGTGTCGCGGGAAGCCACCGCGCTGGTGAGGGTCGAGGAGGATGGCGAGACCATGTGGACCACCGCGGAGCGTCTCGCCCCAGAGCACGCGGAGGAGTGGAAGGAGGAGAAGAGGACAGGGCCAGGGCGCGATCCAAGGATCCTTCCAGTGGAGTGCGACTCGACGAGAGGACGCTATCGGGCACTCAGGTCCGCCATGGGCGAGATGACCTGGATCGACCCCAAGAAGCTGGAGGCGGACTGGCCGTTCGAGGGGCCCTCCGCGGCGAAAAGCTTCTTCACGCTGTGCGGGCTTCAGGAGAAGAGCTGGGGGGGTCCACGACTACTGGGTTCGGAGCAGCGGCGTCGGGCCCGACAGCCACATCAGCTACAAGCATCGCGACCTGCTGACGACGCTTCTCCACCTCTGCAATTTCGACCAGCTCAACCTGGGAGAGCTTGCTGGGGCGGAACATGCTGCCAGGCTGGTCTTGCAGATCCACGCAGCGGCCAAGAGGAACCCGAAGGCGCCAGACTTCAAGGGCACGACGGTCATGGTCGCCTCGAAGCTGGGCTCGGCTGGCGGGGTCCTCGCTGGGGACTTCGCGAGGTACGTGGCGGAGGAGCAGCGGACGCACGCACACGCACTTAAGCAGCAGCGCTTATACGCCGAAGAGGAGGAGAAGCGGGCAGCCAAGAAGAAGGATAATGACAAGAGCTAGCTGCCGCAGCACCATGGTGGCTTGGGATGGCGCTGAGCTTGGCGCTGAGCCCTGCGCTGGCGAGGAGGGCGACTCGGCGCCGTCCTCGCCGTCGCCGTTCCCGCTGCCGCTCGCTGCCGAGCGTGCGCGGCAAGTTCGGCCTGCCAGTCGGGGGGCCGCTCGCCGGAGGGCCGGGCGCGAGCGCGCCGAGACGCTGGTGGTCGACGCCGTCGCCTCGCTCAACGCGCTCGCCGACTCGAGGGCGGGCCAGGGGGTGCAGCTTGCACTGCCCCGCCGCATTCCTGGGCATGAGCTGTCGGATTGCCAGCGCTCCATGCTCGCCAACATTGCCAGGATGGTCAAGCTCTTCGACCCGCCGATCCCGAACTCCTCCTTCGAGGGGGGCGCTTTGGCTGAGTTGGTGCGGTCTTCGTCCATCTACGACGTGGAGGACACCTCGACCTCCGCGAGGTATGCCCCGAGTAAGCTCAAGGTACTCGAAGGTCGCGCGCGGCCGATCGACGCCAGGGAGCTCGTCGGCGACTACGCGCGGGAGTACCTCGACAACCCGAACTCCAAGATCGCGCTCGACGCCGTCGCCAGAGCTGCGGTCGCCGAGCCGATCCAGCCACGCTGGGACCCCTCTCTTCGACAGCCAGGCCCGCGCCGACGTGACCTCATTCGACGACTCGATGCCGTTGGGCTCCTCGCCTATAGACGTCGTCGGCTCGGGCGCGTGGGCATGTTCTTTGTCAAGAAGAAGGATAAGGGCGCGATCCGCCTCGCGTTGGATGCCAGACCAGTCAACGAGCTCCAGAAGAGGCCGCCGAAGTCCCGTCTGGCTACTCCTGGTGCTCTCAGCTGCCTTAACCTCAGTGACCAGTGGTTCGCGCTATGTGCCGAGGACTCTTCCCAGCTTGGGGCTTTCCCCGAGTCAGGTGGCGCCCTCGAGAAGGAGGATGGCGGGGTCTGTATCTCGGGGGCCGGGGTCGACCTCAAGGACGGCTTCTACAAATTCGGGCTCCCCTCCATGTCGTCGTGGTTCTGCCTGGGCGAGCTCTGCACCGCGAGGGAGCTCAACGTCGCGGCTGTCTTCGACGAGGACGCCGGGAGGATGGAGCCCCTCTGCCCTGACGACCAGCTGCGCGCCTGCTTCGGCGGTCTCGCCATGGGCCGGTCCCGGGCGCTCTTCTTCTGCCACAGCGCGCAGGAGGAGGCAGGGCGCCGAGCGACGTGCCGGGTCGGGTGCGGCGGGGCCGAGCCGCTGGCAGACTGGAGGCCCAGCCCTGCTTTCGGCCTTGGGTTTGTTGCGGTGGCGCCTTACGTCGACAACGGGAACGTCATCGGGGGCTCGCTCGAGGCCACCGCCGCGCTCCACAAGGCGCTCACCGAGGAGCTGCGCGCCATGGGGTTCGTCACTCACGAGAACGTCGACCCGGCCGCGGAGCTGGAGCTGGCGGGCAGGCGGATCGAGGGAACTAGACGATCCCTCGCGCCACGGTCGTCGCGCACGTGGCGGCCGTGGCGCGCCCTCCGCGAGCTCGAGTTCACCAGGGGCTCAGCTCCTGGCATCGTCAGGCGGGTCGTTGGGCACATCGTCGACCACTTTTCGACCAGGCGGGAGCTGCTCTCGACTCTGCAGTACCTGTGCCCGTTCACCGGCGACGGCCGCGGGGAGTGGAGGGAGTTTGACGCCAACGAGCTCGCCGAGATCAGGCTCCTCAGGGGCCTCCTGCCCCTCGCCGTCTCGGGCCTCGGACGCCCGACGCCCCATTGCGGAGCACGTCTACTGTAGCGACTCGAGCTCGCACGCGTGCGCCGCCCACATCACGGGGGCTAGCCCTCGGGAGGCTTGGGCAGCTGCCATCTACCGCGAGCGCTGGAGGTTCAGGGAGCTGGGGGGCGAGCGCGAGGACGACTGCGGTGCCGGCGCCCTGCCCGACGAGACCCCGGAGCTGGAGACGGGCGGGGGGGCGTTCAGCGCTTGGGCCGCCCGCGAGGTGGAGCAGGGGCTGGGTCGGCTGCGGGGGCCGCGCGTCGCCGTCATCCCGAGCGAGTCGCAGCTGGACGACGTCGTGGAGGTTGTTGGGTTGGTGCCTGCTCTTTGCCATGAATGGGGCCCCCCCGAACGCTGGAGGTGCATCCGGGCTGGGAGCTGGAAGCGCCCTGATAAGATCGACAACCTGGAGGCGCGTGCAGCGCCCATGGGGCTCGCCGACCACTGCAGCCACGGTGCGAACCACAACGCCGCGCTGCTCTTCTTTGGGGACAACGGGTCGGAGATCCTCGCCTGCGATCGCGGACGAGCCCGAGCCTGGAAGCTGCTGGCGCTGCTCCGACGGGGAACCGCATGGCAGGTCGCTGCCAATGCGCGGTGGGCGGAGGCGCATCCGCACCGACCGCGACCCCTCGGACTTCGCTTCCAGGTTGCGGTGGCGTGGGCCAGGGCAGAGCGCGCAGGGCCGGGCTGCTGAACTTCGCGACGCTGGTCGCCTGGGCCGCCCGCTCGCCCGCGCCGAGGAGCCCTCGACGCCCGCCGAGCCGCTCTCGGCCGCCGCTCGGCGCCGGCGACTCGCCGAGGAGCCCTGCGAGAACCTCTGTGACCCTCGGGACCCCGCTCGGAGCCGGGAAGGGTCGCCGACCTTTCGGGCGCCTGAGGCGGCCCAAGGCGCCGCGGATGACGCCCCGAAGCTGGCCGCGGCGGGGGGCGGCTGCTCGCCGCCTCCGCCACCGCGGGCTCAGACGGCGGGGCGAGGTCTACTTCCTCGAGCTCTTCGCCGGGCGCTGCCGCCTCACCGCTGGAGCTCTGGGCGGCGGACTGCGCTGTGCTGTTCCAGTCGATCACATCAACGCAGAGTACTTCGATGTCACCAGGGCCCCAGTCTCCGACGCCATCGTGCAGTGGATCCTGTGCGGCTCGATCTGGGCTTTCGCCTTGGGGACCCCCTGCACGCGCTGGAGCGCTTCTCGGCGAGGTGGCGAGATGTCGGACTCGGCCGCGTCGGCCTCCGGTCTCGCCTGCGCCAAGTTCTCGTGTCGGGTGGTGCGGGCCTGCCTGGGCGCTGGCGCTCAGTTCGTCATCGAGAACCCTCGGTCGAGCCACCTCTGGAGCTGGCCGCCGCTGGAGCGCCTGCTTAGGCGTGCTGCTGCCGTTCGCGTGGAGCTGGACATGTGCGCCTTCGGCGCAGCATGGAAGAAGCCGACCCTGCTCGTGGGGAACCTGCAAGGCCTTGAGCGCATGGAGGCCAGGTGCCCCAGGCACGCGCGACACGTCGTGCTGCAAGGTTCGGTTCACCTCCCAGCCACGGCGACGTCACCTGCTCGCTGGCGGTGGAGGACATATTTCGCTTCGGCTTACCCTCCTCAGTTTTGCCGCCGCCTGGCAGGAGTGCTGCGGGGCGCCGCCCCGCCCGCCGCCTGGAGGAAGGAGGGCGAGCCCCGCCTTGATCAGCGGCGGGAGGAGCACTTGGCAGCCTGCCTCAGCCAGAAGGTCAACCGCTTCGTCCATGTGGACCCCCTCCCGGCCAAGGCCGCGCTCGGGTGGGGGTCAGCGGACGGGCACTGGGGCGGGCAGCCGCTCAAGTGGGAGCTGGGCGCCCTCGCTGGCCGCCAGAGGCCTGGCCGCAGCCGAACGCCGAGCTGCGGGTCAGCGACGCCGGCATCACGCTGAGGACGGGCCTGGGTTTCTACGTCGCCTGGCGGTGGGCCCAACGACGCAGCGGCGCTATCTTGATTGCTACGCTGCCGCGGTCCGCTTCGCCCGCGCTGTTCCAGCCGTCGCCGGCGCGGTGCAGTGGGGCAAGCTCCTTGTCGAGTACATGGAGTTCCTCTTCTAGGACGGCGCTGCGGTGAGCGCTGCGCGCTATGCCCTCTACGGCGTCGCCTGGACCTTGGACTTGCCGATCAAAGCCCCCAGCTGCTTTGCTCTGGCCAAGGCCACGCTGCGCGCCTTCTCTCGACGGGCGCCAGAGAAGCCCAGGGGTCCACCGTGCGAGGAGATGCTTTGGCTGTTCGTCGATTTCTTCATCAAGCACGAGCTGTGCCTCGTCGGTTTCTTTGCGCTGCTGGCCTGCGGCTGCTGTCTCAGGCCGTCCGAGGCGATCGAGCTCTGCAAGGAGGACCTGTGCCCGCCCGCGCAGGGCGCCTCGATCCAGAAGTGGAGCATCGCGGTTGCTCCCTCGACCAGAGACAGGCCAGCCAAGAACAGGCAGTTCGACGCCGGCGTGGTGGCCGCCTGGCAAGATCGTCGCTGGATGGGGCCCCTGCTCAAGACCATCTTCGAGCAGACGAAGCCAGGCGAGCTGCTGTTCAGAGGCCTCGCGCTGGCGGCCGTCGAGAAGGCCTTCAAACAAGCCTCCGACCACCTGGGCTACGTGGTAGTGCCGCACGGGATGCGGCACGCCCGTCTCATGACGCTTTCAAGAACGGGGTTGGCCTGCCTGACATTCAGAGCCGCGGCCGCTGGATGTGCGCAGAAAATTGTCGGATCTATATGAAGCCTGCGGCTCTTCTCCGAAGCATTCAGAAGGTCTCGGGAAATCATGTGGCCCAAGCACAGAAGCTCCGAAAAGAACTGCCTGGACGACTTCTGGCCTCGCTCAACAAGGTCCTGCGCAATGAAGCGCTGGCAAGTCGTGGCGTGCGAAAACGAGGACAAGTTGTCGGAGGCTTCCTGGTGAGTAGTCTGCCCGCCTTCTCACCCCCTCAGGCACTTGACGCGCGCCATCGCGTCCGCGGCAGTCGGTTGCCCAGAAACAGCGCCGGCTTGGGGGGGCGTTTCTTTCGAGCGGGGATGTGTGCATGTTGGTGCGTTATCTCGCTGTTGGTGTCCTCCATAGCCTTTTCGGCATTACCCTTTCCCCCCCGTCCTCCCCCCCTCTTCTTTCTCCCTTCGCGTTCGCAGTTCAATGTGGCGTTGTGCGTGGCCCCATCCGGGGCGGCCAGCCTTCTAAAGCAAGCGAACACGAGGATAAGTTTTCGGATGCTTCCTGGTGAGTAGTCTAGCGCCTTCTCACCCCCTCAGGCACTCGACGCGCGCCATCGCGTCCGCGGCAGTCGGTTGTCCAGAAACAGCGCCGGCTGTGGGGGGCACTTCTTTCGAGCGGGGATGTCATGATGATGCGGATGGTGATGCCGATGATGATGCTGCTGATGCTGAGGATGATGATGATGATGAGGATGATGCTGATGATGACAATGCCAAGGGTGATACTGACGATGCTGATGACGATGATGATGTGATAGCGAGGTTGACGATACGAATGACGAGGATGATGATGGTGATGATGGTGAGCATCATGCTGATGGTGACTATGACGAGGAGGCTTAGGATCATGATATGATGGGGATGCTGATGATGGTGAGGAGGGTGATGATGATGATGGGCAGGGTGATGCGGCGGATGATGGTAAGGATGATGCTTGTGATGATGATGATGAAGATTCGGATTATGATGCTGATGTGGATGATGATGCTGCTGCTGATGATGACGATGATTACGAAATTGTGATGATTAGTACGATGATGACAGTATGATGACGATGGTGATTGTCACAATGATGGTGGTGGTGCGGGTGTGGATGGTGATGGCGGTGACGATGATGAGGAGGATGATGATGGCATGAAGATGGTGATGATGCTGATGTGTATAATGCTAAGTATTTGTGTATGATGATGACGATGATGAGGATGAAGATGCGGATGGGCATGATGATATGATGATGATGATGGTGCTTGTAATGCTTGTTATGATGACGGTGATGATGATGACGATGGTGATGGTATGGTGATGATGACGATGACGATGATGAGTTTATGATGGTGACGGTGATGATGAGGGCGATCATGGTAACGAAGAAGAAGAAGATGTTGTTGATTGTTCTTGTGATGATGACGATGGGGAATAAGATGGTGATGATGATGATGCTGATGACGATATGATTGTGGTATTGATGATGGTATTCATGATGATGGTGAGGGTCATGATAACGATTATGATGACAATGCTGATGATGTCGACAATAATGCTGGCGATGCTGATTATGATTATGATGATGTTGATCATTCTCCAAATAGGCGTGCCCTTTGGGAGTCCTGGCTCAAACCCTACTAATTGGTCCGTTGCCCCCCCTTCTCCTATGTCCCTCCCTAATTCCTATGGCGATGCTTATGCCTGTGCCTTTGCCTCCCCCCTAACTCCTACGCCTACGCCTATGCCTATTCCTGCTTGCTTGCGCGCTTGCACGCTTTCTTGCTGGCTTGCTTGCGTGCGTGCTTGCTTGCGCGTTTGCTCGCGCGCTCGCTTGCTTGCTGAGTTGCGGATTCCAGGCATGCTTGATTCTTCTGACTCCTTGATTGAGTCGTATACATATAGCGGGGGACCAGGTCCGGGGGCCGGGGGCCGGAGCCCCGACCACAAATATGGGGCCCGGCGCCCCGGGAGCCCTGCCGGAGCGCCTGGGGCCGTCCAAGATCGCCCGAAGATGGCTTCGGAACGCTCGGAAACGCGTTCCGATCGCTCCGGATGCCTTTCAAGACGACTCCCACGACGCCAATAAGGCCCTGGAAAGCCCCGAAGACGCCCCAAGAGGCACCCTCAGAGAGCCCCAAAAAGCAAACATCGTCGATTTCCGATCGGAAAACTGATGTTTTTGGCGTGTTCGCTTTTTGGGCTTCCACTGTGTCCAAGACGGCCCAAGAGGAACCCAAGCCGGTCGAGGATGCCCATGAGGGGGCCAAGACGGCCCACGAGGCGCCCAAACCGCCCAAAAACGCCCCAAGGCGGCGCCCAAGACGGGGACGAGGAACCGGAAATTCGCGCTTATTTGCCCAAGAGACCCCCAGGAGACCCCCGAGAGGGTCCAAGAAGCGCCCTAGAAGCCCCAAGAGGCCTTCATGAGACCAGAAAAAACACCAAAAGAGGCCCCGAAGACGCCCCAAGAGGCACCCCAATAGAGCCCCAAATATGCAAACATCGTCGATCTCCTGTAGAAAAACTTATGTTTTTGGCGCGTTCGCCTTTCAGGCTTCCACTGCGTCCAAGACGGCCCAAGAGGCACCCAAGACGGTCGAGGATGCCCCCAAGAGGGCTCCAAGACGGCTCACGAGGGGGCCAAGACGGCCCACGATACGCCTAAACCGCCCAAGAACGCCCCAGGTCGGCGCCCAATTCGGGACGAGGAACCGAAAACGCAGCCATTTGGCCCAAGATACCCCCAGGAGACCCCAAGAGGCTCCAAGAAGCGCCCAAGAAACCCCAAGAGGCCCCCAGGAGACCTGCAAAAACACAACACGAGGCCCCGAACACGCCCCAAGGGGCACCCCAATAGAGCCCCCAGAAGTAAGCATCGTCGATTTCTTGCAGAAAAACTGATATGTTTGGCGTGTTCGCTTTTTAAGCTTCCGCTGAGTCCAAGACGGCTCAAGAGGCACCAAAGCCGGTCAAGGATGCCCCCGAGAGGATCCCTACTAGTATCACTCCTACTCGATCCTCCCACTATTACTACAACTACAACAACAACAACTACTACTACTACTACTACTACTACTACTGCTACTACAACTACTACTACTACTACTACTACTACGACTACTACTACTACTACTACTACTACTACTACTACTACTACTACTACTACTACTACTACTACTACTACTACTACTACTACTACTACTACTACTACTACTACTACTACTACTACTACTACTACTACTACTACTACTACTACTACTACTACTACTACTACTACTACTACTACGACTACTACTACTACTACTACTACTACTACTACGACTACTACTACGACTACTACTACTACTACTACTACTACTACTACGACTACTACTTCTACTACTTCTACTACTACTACTACGACTACTACTACTACTACTACTACTACAACTACTACTACGATCGTTATCATTATAAGCATCCTACTACTACGATTATCACTACTACTACGATTATTATTACTACTATTACTACTACTTCTTCTACTACTGCTACTACTACTACTACTGCTACTACTACTACTACTACTACTCCTACGACTACTCTTACTACTAGTGTTACTTTTACTAATACTGCTGCTATTACTACTACTACTACTACTACTACTACTACGACTACTACTACTACTACTACTATTATTACTGCGATACTACTACTACGTACTACTGCTACTGCTACTGCTACTGCTGCTACTACTACTACTACTAACTACTACTACTACTACTACTACTACTACGACTATTACTACTACTACTACTACTACTACTACTACTGCTACTGCTACTGCTACTGCTACTGCTACTACTACTACTACTACTACCACTACTACTACTACTACTACTACTACTGCTGCTACTGCTACTACTACTACTACTACTACTACTACTACTACTACTACTACTACTACTACTACTACTACTAGAGAGGGCACGTCGTCTGCATATGTTTTCAGCCTCTCGGGGCATGGGTTGGCGTTGTTGCGCGCGTCGAACGACAGCGCACCGCGCAATTTCACTGACAGATGCATTGTCCTTCATGCCCTCTAACAAACATGCCCATGAAGGCTCCCGCAAATGGCCCCAACGGCTCCTCCCGCAAAGGCTTCAAAGGGCTCCAAGGGACCGAGGCTCCAAAAGCTCCTGCAAAGGCTCCAAAGGCTCCAACTATTGCAACCACGCCAGCATGCCAATTCGGGCCACTCCAATAGCAATCTCAAATCAAGCGCGCCAACATGAAAGAGATGGGGCACTCCGGCCACAACAACCGCTGATCAAACCATCTTGATTGTTTTGAATTTGTTTTCTCGTTTTAATGCGTATGTTTTGTTTTGAGTATTCGTCATGACTTGTTGTTCCGTTTGTCCTGAGTTTTCTTTTGCGTGTTGAGTATTGCTCATGGCGTTTCAAGGCGTCGTGAGTTTCGCACGATGCTGGATGTCAGGGGTTGATCGCCCAGCTTCGGTCGAAGGAGGCGGCGGCCGTCACTTCGCCGGCCCGTGAGATCGGCACGGGGAAACGCAGGGGCCGCGACATCTACTGGTGCCTTAAAGAGATCATGGACGGCAAGGTCGGCGCGCTGAAAGCCGAACATTGGCGCCAGAGCGGGCTTCTCAAGTCCCGCCCCGACACGCTTGCGGGGTCAACCCATCCAGATCATGTCGGGTGGCCAGTTCCAGTTGACTGGGAGAGCATGTCCGACGGGAAGCTCAGGAAGTTCTGGATCGAGGTGAAAAGCGAGGCAGTTGACGACGGGGAGTCTCTCGCTTCGAGATTCAAAAAGGTGGACTTTCTTTGGGAGGCGCGGGCTCGCTGGTTTCAGCGTCTGCCTCGGGAGGTCCACCTGCCAAGGTGAAGGCCGAGGCGGGGGCGACCCCGTCGGGCGCGGCCGTTCGCGCGATCGAGGTCACGCGCGGCTGCGGCAGCATCCTCAAGGATTTCCAGGACAGGCCCTTGCTGCGCAGGCAGACCCATAACAAGGCGACGGTTGAGGCTCGCGCCTACGAGGTCCAGTTCCTGGCCGACCTGGCCGCGCACACAAAAAAACAACCAAGCTGAACCGAGCCCCTGGAAGAGATGGCAATTCTCGAGAGCAAACCCGAGGAGGTTACCAGGGTCGTCGAATCTATCGACGCATGCCGCGACAAGGACGATAGGCTGCGCGAGTGATTCGTCAAGTGCGGTCACTGCTCGCAGAGGGAGATCGCGGTGAAGACGGCGAAGACATAAGTGATTCTCGGGACGCGCCAGTCTGACATAGACCAGTCTGCTCATGCGCAGATTTCCCATGCGCCGCGCGGGCATTTAGCGCTGGAGCTAGCGTGCTTCGCGGAGACACAGCGCGACAATCACGCGGGGATACGCAAATAGCACCACGCGTCATCATCATCACCATCAGCACCATCGTCGTCGTCATCACCCTGTTTATCATCACCCCCACCACCATCGCCACCTCCACCATCATCATCAGCTTGAGTCGCCGCAGTTGCGGCGAACAGAACGGGCGGGGTCATCAAGTTTGCGCTGGGCCCCGAAAGAGTCCGATGATCCTCTGCGCAGAATGGGGAGGTTCATCAACTTTGCATTTGGGCCCCAAAAGTGGCCTTGCTGATCCTCTGCCTTGATGGCGGTAGCTCTGGCGCTGGCAGCCGCCCGTGGGCTCGAGTGGGGAGCGAGCGGTATGCAGGTCGACTCCCCTGCAGCCGAACCACGGGCAGTTGCCATGACCGGCGACGAAGGCGACGACCTTGCAGCCGCGGCGGGGCGCGCAGGCGACGCGACCGACGGCGGCGGGCAAGCTTCGGCCGCCGCGACCGACGGCGGACCGAGCGGACCGAGCAGCAGCGGCATGCAGGACGGCGCCCTTGGGGCCTTGAGCAGGCCAGCTGATGCCGCGCCCGACGGCAGGCTGCAGCGCCCTGTGGCCGCCGCGGCCGACGGCGGCATAGGCTCTAGCAGCAGCAGCGGCAGGCAGGACGACTCCCCTGCAGCCGCGGGAAGGCCAGCAGCTGCCGCGGCCGACGGCAGGCTGCGGCGCCCTGCGGACGTCGCGACCGACGGCGGCCCAGGAGCGAGCTGCAGCAGCATGCAGGGCGACGCCCCTGCAGCCGCTCTCAGGCGCGCCCTCGACGCGGCCAAAGGCAAGAGGAGGCGCTTAGAGACCGCCGCGGCCGACGGCGGCTCGCGAGGTGGCGCGCAGGACGACTGGGTGCAGGAAGACTCTCCTGCGCCCGCGGGCTCGGGCAGCGCAGATGCGGACGGCGACGGGCGCCGGCTGGTCAGCATCAATGGCTTCCGCGTGTGCGCGCGAACACGCCGTTCCCCTGGGCGGAAGCGCGCGTCTGCGACAGGGGGCGCACTGCGGCGGAGGAACCGCAAGATCGAGAGCACCAAGGCAGGTTGCGATTCCAAGTCGGGAAAGTGCCTGGCGGAGTGACCGGCGGGCGCTGCAACGACGGGGCCAGTCGTTTGCCGTGCCTCTCGGGCTGCGCAACTTGCGTGGCTGCCGCCGCCCTCCCGCCCAGCGCGCGGCTGGTGCTGCGCGAGCTGCGCCGACCACCCTCTGCCTTGATGCGATTGTTCGGAGCGATTGGGGGTCGAGCGGCTGACTTCCGACGAGACGCGCAGGATTCACGTGCAGGTGCAAACCATCACCACCATCATAATCATCATCGAGCTCGGACGCCGGCCTTCCCCGACCTGTTCTGACATGAATGATATAGAACAGGGCAGCTGTCGTCGCCGTCGCCGTCTTCGTCGTCGGCGCCGCCATCGTCGCCGTCGTCCTCCTGGCCCCTTCCAGGGGTTACACTTTGCCCCTTTAGCTAGCATTCTGGAACCGCATCGTCGTCGTCGTCGCCATCATGATCGATGCCATTTTTTCCGGGCGGAAGGGGGCCGAGGGCCAGAGGCAGCCACCATCTTGTGAGTCACGTGCGCTGGGTATCTGGGACACGAGGGACCCGGGGCCAGGAACAGACGCCAGCTTCATGCCATCATCGACATTGGCAGATGTGCGATATCGTGGGCTCCAACACCTGCGCGATGAACGATTGCCGAATCTCGAATGTTATGAATCAGCCGAAATGTCTAGACAAGCGCACCCCCCCACGTCTCACCACCCCGTATGCCCACACCTGTCCGTAGCTGTTCTGGCTTAGCTGCAAATGTTGGTTCGATGGCAATGTCTCCGCTCGCTGCGCTAATAGTCACGCGCGCACTTCCGATGGGGTGGAGAGGTTCTGCGAGGCGAGGAGTGGAGAGCCCGCCGAGTGCTGCTGGCGAAGCTGGCGGAGAACCAGGCTGAGCCAGGTTTGGAGGCGGCGCCTTAGGAAGAGCCTAGCCGACATCGATGCCAGCGCCAGCGCGCGCGATAACCGCGGCTGCAATGGGCCGCGCTACGACGAGCTCAAACAGCAGTGGGCGAAAGGCGATCTCGCATCATCGCAGGTGCAGTCGTTAGCTCAGGGTGCTCACCTATCGGGGGCAGGCGGTGTTGAATGAGTAGCGGCATCAGGAGCTCATGGCAAGTGCGATGGAAACTTGTTTAGATACATCCCAAAAACGCTTTGCTGGCCCCATCGGCGCTCCTCCGATTGACTACATACTGATTTGCGCAAAGTCAGGTGGCCCAAAGAATGCATGGCCAGTTTTGCGTTCACCTCCTTATATATAAGCAAGAGTATTCGAGCGCAGAGCAGGGATTGGAGTAGCAGGGCTTGTCCGTGCGAGAGAGCAGGTTTTGAGTTTTGGGCGGGGTTCCTGAGAAACGCGCCATTCGTGCAGCGGCATCCGTTTTAACCGGAGTGCCAATGGAGAAACTCAAGTCCCTTGGGATTCCATGGTGGTGGAGGCGCGTTGAAAACCAATGACAGCTTGCACGCCCTTCGCTGGAACAGCTTGATCGCGCGCGGCGCGACGATGCAGACGAGACCCCTTTTCGCTGCGACACAAAAAGTGAGCTCCGCGATGGCACGCTTGACGACATCCTCCGCGCATGCTCTTGATCGGTAAACGTTTTGCTACCTGAGAAGCGCCGCATTTGTATTGGCGGCGAAGGCAAGCTTCATAACGAATGTATAATGCCCGCAAGGCTTCTTCATCAAATGACAACCCCGTGCGTGGACTCGCGTTGATAGAGATGCTCCATGGCGCGCGTCTCGCTTCACAAATGAAAGTTTCCGTGGGCACATCAGTTACAAGGCCTGCAATTGCCAATTACGGTGTATTGCGTGCTGGGGTTTCGACTAGACTGTGTCGCCGTGGATCTGTTACACACAATGGATCAAGGCGTAGCGTCACACCTCGTAGGTTTGGTGTTTTGGTGTGTAATTAGTATTCGCGGTCCAGTTGGGGGTGGTTCTTATGCGGCTCGAGTGGCTCATCGGGCCAGCCATCTGAAAGACTGGTGCGCGACCGTAGGCGTCACATCTAATATCCAACGAGAACTAAAGAAGGAACGGATCAAAGAGTCTCTAGCAGTTCATGGGCAAAGCTCAAGGCGTAAGCAGCTGCAACGAAACATCTAGCGAAATACGCCCTCCTGTTGATGCGTCAATTCGGCAATCGCGATCACCCTGTGCCTGGAGAGCACGATATCATGGCACAGGGCCTTTGCGAACTATAAGTGGAGCTCTGCGGCGCAATTTCACGCGAATCACAGTTTCGGACGGAAGCAACGGGGAGGCGACTGACAGATCGCTTGATTATGTCTTCGCCATTATTTGTGAAGCTGGCCAACTTTGCTCATGGGGGAAACTTCTCTATTTGGGAGATCTCTCCTAAATTGCACTTGATGCTGCATCTCATCGAGGACCATATGCCATATTGGGGCAACTGTCGTGTCTGGTGGACGTAGCCTGACAAAGATTTGGTAGGCCGTCTAATCAACATGGCTGATAAGCTTCACCCGACAACGTTAAGCGTTTCACAGATTTCGACATGAGTGTTCTGCGTGGTTGGCCAGATGCTCATCGAAAGTGAAGGTTGACCCGCGCTTCGCGTGCAATACGAAACAGAACGCAGTGCAACTGCAACGAACAAGCTAACAAGTTATACATCACATATACAACTTACATAATTTAACCGCATCGACATGGCTTTAATATACAACAGCACATACGGCTTAACACCTAAAGCAAATCATGTTGTTTTGCAGTGTTTCTTATACCTTTGCCAAGGATTGAAAATATACCTCTTGTTGTAATAATGCAACCACTCGATGGTTGGGGGAGGCCCACCCCCTTTGGGAGACGGCTTGCGCCAGGGGGACTTGAGCCAGGGGGGGCTACGGACACGCGCACACACATACACATACACACACATACACATACACACACGTGTTTTTTGTCCACTTGTGCTTCTTTCAGTGGCGATGGAGACGGAGGACGGGGCGGTGGAGGAGCAGCGTCCCGAGGCTCCCTTCGGCGCCGGTGGGTGGCAGTGACAGCCAATGTCCAGTTGTGCCTCCCGGGTGCGACGCTGGCAGCCAGGTTGACGACCGAACAACACGCACCCATACACATTGGAGGAACGGATGGGCTATGGGTTCGCCATGGGGGAAGCGGGTCCTGAATTCAACGGGCCGTGAGGTTTTTCGCTGCTTTCGGGTTCTCGTGGCCTTCCACGGCCACGGGGCTGTCAGAAAACGATTCAGGACGAAGAACTCGTCCTGGGGGGAGGCCCCAGGGTCCAGGACCCGTTTCCCTCGGGACCCGCTTCCCCCATCCCGTCGAGCGGGAACTCCCCCCAGGATCCGACAACCCGCATCCACACCCATAGCCAGACCTCTTCCCTCCGACCCTCCTATGGGTATGGGTTTGGGTGTGGTTGTGTTGGTGTGAGTGTTTGTGTGTGCGCGTGTGTGTGTGTGTTGTTCGTTCGTCACAGGTCGCACCGCACTGACCGACGAGGGCGATGGCTGTGGCCGCTCGTGCGGTTCATTGGCGACCCTGACTGTGGGCGAAGACTGTGGCGGGGCCGTCGCGTTCATCCCGTGCGCCCGCGCAGATGTCAGCGCCCCGCGCAGCTCCTCCAAGCGCGCAACCTCGGCCTTTTTCTCCTCCTCCTCCTCCTCCTCCTCCTCTCCTCCTCCTCCTCTTCGTTTTCCTTTTTTTTTCTCCTCCTCCTCCTCCTCCTCCTCCTACTCCTCGTCGTCCGCCTCCTCATTCTCCGATTCGCCTCTTCATTCGGCTCCTCCTCCTCGTCCCTCCCTCCTCCTCCGCCGACCCCTCGCCCTTCTTCTCTTCCTCCTCCTTATATGCCTCTCCCTCCTCTTTGGTATCATCTCTCTCTCTCCCATCTCTCTCTCTCCTTCCTGCTCTTTCTCCCGTCCCTCCTCTCCTCTGCCCTCCTCGTCGGCTTCCTCTCTCGGGAGCTGCCCCCCCTTCAGTTTCGCCGGCAGGCGAGGTGCGCCCTCGCCTCCGCCAGAGCCGGCGCCAGGGGGAGCAGGCATCGCCGTGCCTGCGGGCGCCTCTCCTGAGACAGGCGGTGCCCTGCTGCCCCCCCCACCAGGCAGCCTCGCCGTTTGGCGTTATTTTTTTTTGCGGCGCCAGGCCGTGGCGTGGACGGCGGGGGGGGGGGGACCGTGGACGACGGGGCGGGATCGGAGAGGGAAGTCGAACGGTGAGAGGTGAAGATGGGGAGCAAGACGAGCGAGAGAGGGGGACGGAGCGAGGGAGAGGTAGAGCGAGAACGAGATACCCCATGAGCACACTCCAATGGACAAGGGCCCGAGGCGCTCTTGGCGAGTTACCGACGGGGCACACGACAGAGTTGAAGGCCGCGACAGGCCGCAATAATGCGGCGCAGCTGTGCAGCGAGCCGCGGATGGAGATACGCCGAGCCCCTTGGGAGTGCGGGTGGCGGGCGCACGAAGCGACGGTAAAGGACCTCCCCCTGGGCGGGCAGGCGCCGCCGAAGGCGAAGCTGCATCCCCGAGACGAGCTTGCCGGGCAGGACGGGGGACCGCAGCAGACGTTTGTGGTGAAACGGGCAGCCGTGAGGCCGCGCCATGTGGGCGGTGCTGGCGGCGGCAGAAACGGACGCCCGGAAAGCGGAGGAGGAGGAGGAGGAGGAGGAGGAGGAGGAGGAGGAGGAGGAGGCGACGGTACGCTGGCCCTGGCGGACGGCGTCCCAGGCGGCCTGGGGCGAAGAGAGGCGGTGCTGGGCGGAGGCTAGGAGGTCGAGCCCCGCCTGGACTTGTTGCTCGAGGATGGTCAACCTCGCTGGCGACGGCACGCTGCCCGGGGCCATTGCGCTCGCAGCAGTGAACTGTGTGTTGAAGGCGCTCCGCCGGTGTCGAACGAGCGGTGGGCCCAGGGGGACGGCAGAGGGGGGAACCGGAAGTGTGGCCCCAGGAGCGCAGGGTGTGAGGACACCGTGGTCGGACGGAAGGGTCGCCGCGGTGAGCTGTTCCGTCGCCAGAATAGGGGGTGCGGTGGCCCGCGCCCTCGGGGGCCGCGATGGCCCGTTGAGGCGGGGCGTTGAGAGGGACGCCGGAGTTGCGGCGGAGCGGCCTCGCCAGACCCGTCGGGGGATCGTCCTCGCTGTCTGTATTGCCGTCCAGTCCGACAAGGTCGTTGTCGTCGGACGGGAGGGGTCGCGGCCCCAGGCCGAGGCGAGAGCGTCGCCCGAAGGTTTTGCCAGAGGAGGCTGGGAATCTGGGCCAACGCCAAGATGATTCGTGCGCGGCCACAAAAAACGCGGGGAACCGCAGCACCACCGTCGCTTGATCGTCGTCGTCGTTGTCGTCGTTGTCGTCGTCGCCGTCATTTTTGTCGTCGTCGTCGTCGTCGTCGTCGTCGTCGTCGTCGTCGTCGTCGTCGTCGTCGTCGTCGTCGTCATGCTGGTCCATGTTGCCGCCGAGGTGGGCTGGGTCCTCGTTGCCCGGGTCTGGCCATTGGTCGGCCCAGCCATCGGGCGGTTGCAGTGGATGCGCGCCAGCAGGGGGCGCTGAGCCTTTGTCGTCAGGGTGAGGACCTTTGCGTTTCAGGTCGTGTTCCGCGTGGCCCGCCTTACGGCGTGGGAGGGGCAGGGTGTTGTACCGCAGGTCGCCAATGGCCACGGCCGCGCTGTGTAAGACGACGAAAAACTGGTGCCGAGTTTTCGCCGCCTCTGCGACGTCCAGTGACATGTCGTGGAGGGCCACGACATCGGTGCCGATTGAAGTATTCGGCGGCGGCGGAGATCAGGCCAGCCTCTACCCCTTCCTCGCCGAGGTGCCTGTAATTCTTTTCGCACGGAGCGTGTCGGTTTTGGCCGGAGGATTTGGTGGGCTTGGTTGCCCTGACGCGGCGGTGGCGCACCGTCCAGGAAGCTTCGGAGATCGTCTACGACAGGTTTGTTGTCGACGAGGAGCACGCGTGGGCTTTCTGCAATGGCCACCAGATGGAGCAGCGCCAGGGTCTCGGCACGTTGCGCCGTCTGGAAGAGGCCGCGCACGAGGCCCGAGTAGTTGAACCGGCGCAAAGGGTTTAGAGGATCCCGTAGGCAATACAGGCGAAGAGGTGGTAGGCTTGGCGAGAGCAGGCCCCGTCAGTTGCCGCGTCGACACAGAAGCGGGCCCCGTCGAGGAGAATGGCGGGCACCTGGTCGAGAAGGGCTGGGCCCAATGCCCGCCTGGCGAGCTTGCCCGGGCGCATTTTCTGCCGGGGGGAACCAGTCGAAGAGGGCGGCCTCCCGCAGCGAGAGGTCGAGCCCGCGGGCGTTGCGGAGGTGCTGTCGCCGACGGGCGCGAAGCTGAGCGACCGCGGCGCAGTGCGGCGCTGCCCCTTCAAAACGCGCGCCAGAAGCTCGATGTCGCCCGAGGGCCGCGATCCGCCCTGGACATGGCCGCCTGCGCGGGCCAAATGCGGGGGGTGCGATCCCGCCGCGCAAGCGTGCCAGACGTGCTCAGCGGGCAGCTGGCGCGGAGGGCGAACTCGAGACAGACGTCGATGACGCGATCGTCGAAACATTCCTGTCCGTCGAGGGCCGCACTGGCCAAGGGCAGGACTGGCGCGCTAAACCTGGGGGCCCAGATAAGCGCAGACCCCCCCCGCTGGTGGCGCGCGGGACTGCGCCAAAGCTGGCGTCGAGAGGCGCGGAGACAAGGCGCCGTCTGCGGGAGGGGGCCCTTTGCTTTTCCGCGGGCAGGGCTTCGGGATGCGCGGGGAAGGGTTCCGGGGTGACCGCGGCTGCGTGCGCGGCGCAAACATGCGCAGAGCACCGTGTGGCAGGCGCTTGGCATCCCGCGCGCTCCAGCCGCCGAGACTCCCAGCGCGCTCGGCGGGCCTGGCCCCGGAGAAACGAGCGAGGGCGTCGCGGGCGAGGGCGACGTCATTGGCTTGGCACCGCGCTGGATGTTCTCGGGCGCATTCGCGGCGGAAAGCAGCCCGCGCGGCGATAGTTTCAACCGGGCGACCGCGGGCGCGGCGGCGCTTAGAAAGAATTGAGCTCCCACGCGTCGCTCACGGGGCGCATCGTGGCCTCGGCGGCCAGGGTGTCGGACGCGACGGAGTCGGCCCCATGAGAATGCAAGATTCTCTCTCTCTCTCTCTCTCTCTCTCTCTCTCTCTCTCTCTCTCTCTCTTTCTCTTTCTCTCTCTCTCTCTCTCTCTCTCTCTCTCTATATATATATATATATATTACTATGTCTCTTTCTCTTTCTCTTGTTTGCCATTCTGTGTTGTTTATACATATATATATAGATAGTACTTGTTTATCTCTCTATGCATATATGTATGTATATATATATATATATATATATCCGTAGCCATTTTGGCTCAAGGGCCAAATGGCGATTTCCTCAGAACTGCCTTCGCGGGGTAGGCTCCCACCCAGTGTTCCAGCTGCTTCCAAGTCCAGGTCCGCCCCTGGCACCAGCCCCAAGTCCAGGCCCGCCCCTGGCATCCATATCAAGAAGTCCAGGTTCACCCCTGGCATCCATATTCCAAGTCCTGGTCCGCCCCAGGCATCCAGTGCTCACCGCGAATGGCGGCTCATAGCGGAGCTGCTGCTGCTGGTCGCCCTTCTGCTCCTCTCCAACCCGCTGGTGCTGGCGCGAGTGGTGCTGGCGACCGACAACCAGATGCAATCCATCAACACGACCCCTGGAGAGAGTCGGCCGTTCTATCCCGTGGTGCTGCTGAAGGAGCCAAGAGACCTCGTGCTAATGCTTCCAACGCCTCAGCTTCCAATGCCTCACCCCCCTCTGAGCTCGTGGACCCCATGGGCGCCGTCAACGCCGCCTTCGCAGCCTCGCAGGACTTCCTCACAGCTCAGCTCGACTCGAAGCTGGCATCGGTCAAAGCAGAGATCATCGGCGAGTTCGCAACCCAGCTCAAGGGTCCCCTTGGCGCGGTGGTCGGACAGCAGCAACAACGGAACGCGCAGTTCACGGGTCAGATCCAGTCACAACAGGCCACATCGTCGAAGCTCGAGGCCGAACAAGCAGAACTACGTGCT